TTCCCCAGCCAGCCATGCTGGCTGGGGAATTCTGGGAGTTGAAGTCCACCCATCTTCAAGCCGCCAGGGTTGAGGAACACTGGTCTACAGCCTAGTTTACCTTAGCAGACCAATTTCCAATGCCCTGGGCACTCTACATTCCTGACTGCCTTCAAGGTCAACTACATCTCTGCCAAATTCCAATGAAAAATGTATTGCTTTTATTGCCAAGTATGGTGTAGAGCAAATTCACTCTTCTTCCTGAACTCTCCCAGGTTTCCTCTGACGGAGGTTGCACGGTTAGCAGAATACCAAAGGTTCTGGAAGGACCCCACTTCCTTCCTTCTTAGAAGCGTGTTGCCTCCTTCCCTTCAAAGCAGTTCTTTGTTCTGTTGAAGGTGCAGGGCCTGCCTTCAGCCCTGCCAGCAAGCTCTCTCGTAAAGTGAAGACTTGGTCCTTCTCTGCTAGTACCAGTCCAGAGAGTTTGGGTGTTCATCCGTGAAGGTCAAGGACTGGAGAAGAAGCCAGGGAGGCTAGAGGCAGAACACAGACGGAAACCCGACCCAGAGCCATTCCGTGACTTGGCTTCAACCAACCAGCCTCCCCTCCAGAAAGCTTTAAAAGCTGCTAGTTCACCAAGACGTAGCCTCCGTGTTGGGGATCCACCGTCTCCATCATTTCGCAATCAAAGAGCCCAGGCAACTGTGCAAGGTTTAAGGTGTCATAGCTGGACTGAGACCCGGGAGATTCTGAGCTCCGCCGGGCGCCGGTCATTGCTATGGCACTCTGCTGGGTGGGATCCAGGCGATACTGATGCTGGCTGGCATAGTCTAGGTCAGACGAGGGGCCGACTGGCCCTTCGCAAGTCTGATAGGAATACTGTTGCTGCGGTGGAGGCGGTGGCTGCATGGGCATCTGTGATGGCAATGGGGAGGAGCTGTGGATGGGGGGAGGAGACTGCTGGTCAAGTTGTAGCTTTTGATACTGGCTAAGGAAAGGGTCATATTGCATGTCTTCAGCAGAAGGCTCCAGGACGGGGCTCAAGGGTTGCACCATAGTGAACTGGGAGGAAGGAGGCGGGTCTTCATGGCAGGGGAGGGGCAGCTGGCTGGATCGGGAGTATGTGCTCTCTGCTATCTGCATCTGGTTGAAGTAGGCCTGCAGCTGGGATTGCTTCTGGAGGAGCAGATGCTTCTGGTACAACCTAAATTGAGAGACTGAAAATAGTTAATCTGCGTTCCCCTAAGCCGCTGCTCTTCCTGTGCTAACTTTATCCTCCCCTCTACAGGAAGGATCTTTCAATCACCAAAGGAGTTCCTGGCCCAGTGCAAAAGCCAAAACCCTTCGCTCCACCCTGCCAAGCACTGGCATGCTTCCCGAGGTCAGAAAAACGATCCCGCGCTGTTGTAGTTCCTTCTCCTTAGGTTCAGCCTGGGAACTCGGCAGGCAAAGGCTTTTCTGAAAAGATTCACCGGCCCAGCCTTTCCCCTTCATTTTTTTCAAACAGGAGTGGAGACAAAAATCACCGTCCCCAAAGGAACATTGGCGGAGGAGAAGAGGGCAGAAAGATTAAACGAGCTCCCAATCCAGGAACTCTTGTGGGATCCGTTGACATGGCAAATTGGATCCCAGACTGGCAACAGAATTCTACGTACTGGGTGGGGAGGCACGACTGGGGCTATTTCCAGCACAAGGAGCTGCTCTTTTTTTCTGGATGAAAAAAAGTCCTATTTCCAGTGGCTGCTGAGGTGGTCTGAGTTACGTTCTCCGGGGCTTTTCTGGGCTCCGGCCGACTCTGCCTCTGCAAATGAGGCTTTCTGTGATCCTAGTGTCCTCCCGTGCTCCTCTCGGCACCGAGGCTCACCTGTGCTCCTGCAGCTGCTGTTCGAGGCTCCGGGGTATCTCCTTGCAAAACACCTGACACGCGTGTTGGGCTTTTGAGAGCAGGCTGGGCTTCTGGAATAAGGCAAGAGGGAACAGGGCTGGCATCACTGTATGCCCACCGTTTCAAAATCAGCATGGAGGTCTTGAAAAGTCAGGTGGTGGGTTAGCCGGGGTGCCTGAATTTGTTGGCTGGGCCCTAAGGCTCCCCCCGCCTGGGGACAAGGGAACAGCTTTGCACAGCCCCTCCCCTACTGTGCCCCAAGCGCGATGGTGGGAGAAAGGGAGCCTCAAGCCCTTTTTCACCAAGTGATTCCAGAATGAAGTGCAGCCGCTCCCACTGAACCCATGTTTCCGCTGGCTTAAGGCCTTCCAAGGAGGTGCCCTACCTGAAGCACGTGCTGCAAATACTGTGTCTCTAAGCTCTGACGCCTGGACAGCAACGGCGGATGCATGCTGTTGGGAAAGGTGGGAGCAGCGTCCTGCTGCTGGGAGGCTTCCTCCTTGAGGGAAAAAGGGGGAGATAAACCCATCCAGGCCACATTATCTCCCTACGGGTTGGAGCAGAATGCGGACTCAGAAACGTGCAAGAGTACGGGTGGCTCTGACGACGGGGAACCGATCAGACGCTTTGGGAAGGGGGGAGAACATCTGATTCAATATACTTCCACCCATTTGGAGCCAATGTATTTCAATCCCCCCCACGCACACACTGAGGCTACCATCAAATGTTCAGCCTGTATTTCTGTAGCACAGCTGGGGTGGGGGGCCAGCACAAGGCTTGAGCAGACATTCTGCCCATCAAAGATCCCCAGATCCTCAGACTCTCTAGACTGGCAGGAATGGCACCAGCCAGCAGGCAGTGCCACATGCCCAGATGAATCAAAAGCCTGTTCTTGACATGCTCCAGCTTCCATTACCCCTTGGTACCTACATCAATCTAAGCCCCCTCCCCAATACCCCAATATTCAGAATTTGAGAAGCTGAGACCCTGCTGGTTTGGGGGCCCTAAGACATCTGCACTCCTTTCAAGGTAACTTCAGGAACAGGTTGATTTATTGAGTGTAGCAGCTGAGTTCAGTGGCTCCAGAGAGCACCAACACAGACGACAAAACTCCTCTCCAAGGACGTACCTGCCGGGAACCGCTTCCAAGGCCTTGCAAGTGAGGAGAAGTGGATTCCAGAGAAGGTTCGTCTTCTGACCTCATCTGATCATACAACAACTGTACTTTATTCAGCTCCAGGATTCCTTTAGTTCTGGCCAAATTCTGAAGATGCTGTCTGAACGCTACAATTCCTGTTGCAAGGGTAAGCAGAGCAATTGCAAATTAAGGGTTCTTTTTCACAAGCAGATCATGGTGGTCAACTTCTGCAGTTTCGTTTGGTTTCTGCTGAAAGTTTGCAACAGACGATCCCCAACCCTGGCTCCACCCACCTCGGCCAAGTCAACCCATCACTGCCCCAACTACTGCAGCCAGTGGCAATGAGGCCTTGGCCTTCCAAAGGCTGCCTGTCTCCCTGGGGGCCGCTCAATCCACAGCAGTTACCTTGTGTCAGGGATGTGTCCGATGCTCTGCGCCCCTCCCGAAAGCTGACAGGGGAACGATTGTGGGCTTCTCGTTTGTGGGCAGCCAGGGCCTGCATGGCTGGATTAGGAGGCCTCAGGCCTATGAAAGGAGGGGTCATCCTCGGAGCTGGTGGGTTTGCCAGAACCATTTCCTTCAAGGACGAGGTGTCTTCCAGGAAGTTTAAATCCCTCTGGATAGATCCCATGTCATATTCAGAGTCGGTGCTGCTCAAGGATTGGTTCTCATCCATGGAAAAGACTTTTCCTTCAGCACCCAAGAAGAGCCACAAGAAACAGAATTAACCAGTGTTTACCAGGGTTATTGTGTCTAAAGTCCTAGAAACGCAACGGATCTCTTTGTGGGACCTACAACAAGCGCTATCCCAGTAATGCTTTCCAGTTCTCTTGGCCCATACAAGCTACTCTTGTCTTTATAAAATGTGGCCGATGTTTCTTCTGCTCTAACCGACAGTGGTTAGCTGCTGACCTCTGAACACAAGATGGCCAGCGGAAAGAAATGGGCGGTGCCCTCAAGCTGAGCCTCAAGTCCTGCTTCCAACTGGACAGAGCAGAGTGCACGATGCATCTACCCCACTAAAGCCCTGCAGCAGAGGGATGTCCTGTTTAACAGTACCTCACATCCTTTGGAGATTTCAACTGTGCCTTTTAAACTTCAGGGAGACACACACTGTGTGACCTGACCCTACGTCCAAGCCTGCTGTCTCCCTAGGGCACTGGAAAATCAACAGCAAGAAGTATACAGAAAATGCAGTGACAGGCATCAATGACTTTATAGGGACGACCCTCCTAAAACCTGCTCAAGAGTGGTTTCGGCAGAGCGCTCCTAGCTGTGTCACCGCTGATTTCTTTCCTTCCTTTCTTTTAGAGCAGGCCACCATTCTGATCGTGGGCAGGCGCTCCCTCTTGCAGACACCTAACATATGCTGCACAAACGTGCAAATGGAGACATGTGAACTGACAGAGTTGTTCTCTTTGGGGGCTCTTCTGTTTGCTACCAGCACAATGAGATACTTGCCAGCTGGTGGCTTCTGAGCTGACACTGTTTGCTCTTCCCAGTCTTTGCACACTGTCATGAGATTGCTTGGCAAAGCAAGCAGCCACCATCTGTATAGTAACTCCTCTTATCTTCCTACAAAGCAAATTCATGGCTGGCTCCGAGGCACGCAGAAGATTCATGGGGCCCTCCACTGATGGTTAAGTTCAGAGGGACGTAAAACTGAGTTGGGGACCTTCCACTGCGCTCCTTAGTTGCCTGCAGGATTTGAGTCTGTTTCGCTCTGCTCACCAGTGCACAGACCTCCACCTGCACTTCAACTTGTGACACGAAGTCACTGAAATTATGCAGATGAAGACGAGGACTACCCTTCAGCCTTAGAGTGGGGCTCAACTAGATCCACCTTCCTCAACCTGGTGTGGTGGGACTGTCCTTTTAGAATTCCCCAAACAACTGGAGGCCATAAAGTGGGGGAAGGTTGTACCTGGGCCTGGCATGGCCAAGAGGGGATTGGTGACTTCTGCCAGGGTATGTCGCCTCTTCCCGCTGCGACTTCCTTGCAGTGCTGCAAAGGCCTGAGCGGGGTCCGTTTCGGATTCCCCTTCTGCTTCTATCCCTTCATCGATTGAGGTTTCCATCATGCTGGTCGGCAGGGACTGGCATCCTTTCCTTACCATCACTGGGGGAACAGGATCCAACAGGCAACCGTTCACCTAATTAGTGAAAAAGAAAAGAAACACGGTGGTTGAAGGGAGGAACCGCACACAAAAGAAACAGGGCAGAGGCAGGCAGCCACAAACGGGGTTAGCTGCACGTTGAAAGCACGAGAGCAGAACTAAATGGAAATAAATCAAAACCAAAGAAGTGACTTTTTTGGCCAATTTGTAGTGAGAATGAGCACTTTCTTTGGTAGCACAATGACTCACCCTCCCCTTTTCTGGACAGTAAGCTAACGGCAAAATTTTCACACTGTTTTTGGGACCTGAGTTGCAACTGCATTCCGGAAAAAGTTCTGAACGCATTCCTGCTTCAGTGAAATGTTTTCATAAACTTCAGGGCCTGCTCAGAAAGATCACTCAGAACTAAAGATGGGAATGGCTTCTCCTTGGGCACCAGCAGGCTTCGCTTGGGTGGCACCCTCTGAAGGAACTACAAGCATTCTGGGAGTTGCCATCACACATGGAAGGTGCCTGGTTTGAGGAAATGTCACTGCCTGGCATTGGAGAATGTGCAGGTGACGCCCAAGGAGACTGGAGGACCCAGGTGTGCTCCTCTCAAAATAAAAAGCTCAGCCCACCATCTCGCTTGACTTGATCCCAGTTGTGGAAGCACTGGCTTCTCAGTCCCACTATGAAAGCTGCCTCAGGGGACCAAGCTTCAAAACTGGTTCATGGTTGACCTGCTGCAGTTAATCCAAGCACCCATTTATCTAAGTAGCTGCACAGAGGTCTAAAAACCCATGGTTTTTTTTGGCCCTTCCAAATCCCACCGAATATCACCACAAAGCTACAATTTAGTAGCACAATACAGAGCTGGAGACAATGCTCTGGCAATACCTGTCGGCCTGCCCTGGGAAGAGCTTTGGATGGAAGGAAGGCAGCGCAGATCGGCCTTCCTCACCCTTCTCGCTCTAGAGGAGCTGGGTTGCAATTCCCCAGAAAGTTGGGCTAAGAGTTGATTTAGATTCTGTCTTGGGGGCAGCGCAGCTGAGCTCATCTGTTCAAGCACAGAGTGTTTTCTAATGCACCAATTTCTCCACAAATTGTAAGATGGCAAGCCTTTTTTTAAAAAAAATAAAATCCTAATAATCTCTTACCTTTTCCCCCTCCTAATTCACATTGTAAAGAATTCTTTATGTGCCTGTGTATGGCTCTCCATGTGGACCCCTTCAATAGAGAATCAGTCCTTCCTCCTGCCAAGGGCTCATGGAGAATTTCTAGACTCAAGTCATGGGAGGGTCTAACGTGAGGCAACTACAGGAATGGCAATGCCCAGATCATATTATTATTTCTCTTTTGCCCTGAGCCTTGACAACAAGCGCCCCCCACCTGCACCTCCACAGAAAGGCTGAAATATACACAAAACCAGCCTCAGGTTTTCACAGACTTTTGAACCTTGACAACTAAAGCAGAAAGGAACAATTTGGAGGGAACCATGTTTGTTTTGTGCCAAGCCTTTTAACTCAGCTGCCCTGAGGATAAATCGCACCCAGGGCTTCGGGGCTGCCTGTATCCCTTCTGTTTTGCAATACGTGAGAACCTGAAAAGGAAACTTAGACCAGGAAGAATATCTGTGTTTTCCCACTCCATAAGAGGGCAGAGGAACATGGGAAGGCAGTGGCTTTAGCACTCTACACGTGACTCTCTGGGAGAAGCCACCCTTCTCCTGCCATCAAATCAGAGAATGAAGCCAAGACACCCCAACCTCGTAGCAATAACCCTGGTGCTCAGCCCCACCTGACTTAGATTTAAGAAGGTTGCACGGAGGATTTAATTAGATTTAAGACTGCTTTTCCTCCATGCAACCTTCTTAAGGCAAAGCTTCTGGACGCAGAGGTCTTGGCAGCTGGAGCCATAACGAAGCAAAAGGAGAGGTTGAGCTTCATCCTCTTTCCCCAGAGGCAAAGTTGCTCAGTGGTGGGGTTGGGTGATTCGGGGTGGGCCTCTTTCTGAACTACCAAGCCCTGGTTGGCAACATGCCACTCCTCACTAATGCCTGGGACACGGCTAGTCAATCTCTTGGGCCTCGGGGTGCCCCTAGAGGGCAAGCCATGGAGATGTTAGGGGTGCTGCATGAGGGAGTCATGAGAGCCACTCATCCTGCTGAAGCTGGAAAGGCTGTGCAATACCCCTGTGCAATTTGTGGCATTTTGAGGAACAAGCCCTAACTTTCAAACACAAGAAGGCAGAGGCGGCCACCTTGACAAGCCCACCCAAAGGTTATAGGAATAAATGGAAAAAAGAAGGTGGCCAACTGAGGAAGTTTACCACACAAGAGCGTTTCTGACATCCTCCATGCTCTTCTCACAAGAGAGTCTTTCCCTCTTGCCAGCTTGTCGTCCTTCCCTCCTCCCTTCAGCACCCATCACTGCTGAAGTCGAAGCCGGACTATGCCAAGCTCACCAGAGCAACCGTGCCTTTGCACAACCACGGAACCGTCGCTGCTTGTTAATCAAGCTTAGCGCCAGCCAGTTTACTGGGGAGGGGGAGGAAGCATGCAGGGTCTGGAATGCAGCCACAATAAGCAAAACCTAAAGGGAACGCAACGGATCTGCAGGAGGATTGTGCACTTCCAGTTGCCGTGGGGGAGAACGAGCAAAGGCCTCAGAGATGAAAGGGCTCTAATATTTTCTGACAATTTGAAGGTCCCAACAAGCTTGTTCCTGCTCATAAGATGAACTAAAAGCGCATACTAATAACACCGTTTTAATTAAAGCAGGTTGCTATCTGACAACATTCCCATACCTCATAATGCAAACAAGGCAAGAAAACAACTGCAATTACAGTAGAAAAGTTAATCCTGCAGAAGCATCTTCTGAGGCCCATGATTTCTCTTTCTCCAAGAAAATCCTTTAATTGCCAGGTACTACGGGTCACATTTGTAAGAATATTATAGCAGCTCTATTCCACGCCGAAAGAAAAGACATCAACGTTCAGCCCCGCATTTGGTTCTCGTGATATTTCTTTCTTCGTAACGCGGTAACTAAGGGCCCATTTCTGGTTACCTTACGGAGCTGTGCTCAGATGGCATGTTTATCTGCGGCACTAAAAACTGCTCCACGGACTCCACGCCTTCCTTCCACTCTGGAAAAGACCCCCTTTCCTACTGCTATCAAACAGCCAGCGGATCTGTCTCTTAGAGGCCTTTTACGTGCCAGCCATTTCTGAAGATGGAAACTTCCTTTGCAGTAAGCAAAGGGGCAAACGGGACATCTACACACCTGCTCTAAAAAATGGGAATTGTGGGGCAACCCCACAAAGTGGTGTAACTTTGCTCTGTCGGGAGCTAACTAGGCAGAGCAAAAGCAACAAGAGCCCCTACCCCCCTGTGCACACCTGTGAGAAAAAGGTGTCCTTTTGACAAATGAGCTTTTCTTTCCAGCTTTTTTCTACGGGGGTGAATCCTACTAGCATGGAAAGCTTATTTCTTAAGAGGAAACCCTACACACAACATGCTAACTCTTGACTCACTGATCAACTGATACTATCAAGGAGAGTAACACAAAGCAACTACAGGTAGTCCTCTTTTAGCCATGACAATCAGGACCAGCAATTCGGGTGTTAAGCAAAGCGGTTGCTAAGTGAAACTGCAACTGTACTTATGGTCTTCAGCTTTCCTTTGTTTTACAGACCTGTGTAGGTCATCAATGTGGGGATTGATCACATAGTTATCTTTCCATCACTGTCGTAACTGCAACAGTCGCTAAACGAGGACTACCTGTACAAAATAAATTCTCATTCTTCTGACCAAAACAAACAACTGTAGAAACACTGCAACTCATGACAGAACTGCCTCTAAGAGGCAGCAGCTTGGCCCATCCAAAATATAGCATTGGAGAAACGCCACGCACACACGCACACGCGCACACTCAACTAGCAGAGTGAGATGCAAGAAGCCCTTACTTTGGGTGTGTCAATTCTCTCTTCTTCCATGAAAGTTGATTCTGCCTGGCAGACAGACCTGGGAAAAGAGAATGCTTCTGCTGTCGGTGGGAGCCCGGGAGACCTTCGTAGCCTTATGTTCTGAGAGTGCAAGTTCACGGGAGCAACAGCAGCCTGCAAGGGACAAGAGGAAGAGGCTGTTGAAAGGGATCTAAGCAGAACCCAAATGAAATCAGGAAGTTCAAGGATGGTACTTCTATGAGGCTAACAAAATGGGGAAAAAAGAAACCGACTTGAACTGGGAACAAGGAAGGCAGAAAAGGCTGGAGTGCTGATGGCACCATCTCCCAATATGGTGGTCTGATTACAACTGAACAGAAAGATGGTAGTCTTGTCTCCTGTTGCTTCCGCCCTGCCTAGTATGTCCTGAGCAACATTTCTTGTCCTGCCAAACCTCACAAAAGCTCCAGACTTGAAGCTGTGCATGCCCACTTCGATGGTGACCCTGCACAGAAGGAATCATGAAGCACTAAGACCTCTCCAAGGGCGAATGTCCATCAACATAATCATTGCACTGTCTATATAAGGAAGGGTAGTATTTTTCTCCTGGAGTGTGGAACCGAGTTAGGACAGGGGAACCGAGGAGATATTGATCTGCCAGCTATCAAAAGAGTTCATGGCAGATGTGGCAATGCACTCGGGGGTTCCAGGCGGTTGACATTTAGTAAACATTACTCAGATTTAGTTGTTTCTGAAGTAACTGGCCAGAACTGCCTATGTCCTAGATCAGGGTTTTTCAAACTTGGCCATGTTAAGATGTGTGGACTTCAACTCCCAGAATTCCCCAGCCAGCATGCTGACTAGGGAATTCTGGGAGTTCAAATCTACACATCTTCTGGCTGGGGAATTCTGGGAGTTGAAGTCCACCTCTCTTAAAGTGGCCACGGTTGAGAAACACTGCCCTAGATAGTACCACTCCCTCACAATATGCTCTCTAACCAATACAGGATTTCCTGTCCTTTTCAAAACACAAACGGCAGCAGGTTGCACAGACTTTTGTGACAGATTTATTTAAACTGGGACCACCAGGCGCTCTGTGAATAACTGCTGGCGGCACGGTATACAGACTAGAGTTCAGTCGGAGAGCATCTCCTTGTCGGGCAGAAAATTCCCCACCCGAGAGGACAGAACGAGAGACCTTCTGCTCTTCCCAGTGTTCTAGATTGCTCTAGAACTCGGGGTAACTGAGTTACCTTGGCGACGGTTTGTTCGGCGATGGTGCTGGGTCGCCGCTGGCGAGAATCTAACCGCTGATCGACAGGAAAGCTACTGCGGTGTGACTTTAGCCTCTCTATAAGCAAGTAATAGATAGCAGCAAAGTGATTGTAGCTCTTGTTCTGCAGGGACTGAGAAGAAAACAAGCGTCCGAGCGTCAGTCGGGGCATCGGCTCTCCCCCAGCTTCCTTCGGGGCATCAGATCGTGCCACGAGGCCAGGCACCTTTGATGGTGCAGAGTTCCCCTGAATCAGGGATGGCAAACATTTCTTTTTCGGTCGTGGTTTGAGCTGAGGGGCAGAGGGGGGCTGTGGAAGGGGGCGATGGACAAAGGCCAGATAAGTGGCGGAATCTGGGGCTGCCACCCCCGCACTTTTTTGTGGAATCACAAATCCGCCCTTTTGATGAGTGCACGCTGCAGCACCTGCTGACCTGCCTGAATCAGGTGCCCCATCGCTTCAGCATGGACGGGGACAATGGACTCTGGGCCCTGCGGCAGCTGTGGCTTTCCCAAAAACCTCCTTTGCAGAGGTGAGCTCAACCTCCCGCCAGGTCTTCTGATCCTCACTAAAGCAAAAGCCAACTTCAGCTCGTTCTTTCAAATTCTGAGCAACAGTGGGAAGTGAAGTCCGGAGCCTCTAATTTTACTTTACGTACATCCCCCCCCCTAACCCCCCCCCCCCCCCAGAATTGCTGGCAGGAAGCATTAATATTGCAGGCTCCACACCAGCTAAAAATATCGACCACTCTGAAGGAAGTGATCGCACAGAGTCCTCAGGGAGCAGTTGAGTATTTATTTCTGGAAAGGAGCTTGATTTGGAATCCTAGCCGAGACACCAAAAAGAAAGGGGCGACTGGACGCTTCGTAAGAATACTCCCAGCTCTCACCCTGCAGAAGCTTAAAGCAAACTGCAGTTTTATTTCCTGTTTTCTTCATCTTGTAATTCCCAGAACTTCCCCAAACTTCCCTGACAAACAACCCCGCTTGTACTTTTTACGCTATGTTCTGACGTGGAAGGTGAAGAACCATTGCTGCATTGAAAGCTGATGGATAAACGGTCCTGCAATACACAGAACGGCAACCTTTAAAAGTCCCATTTCGCTTGGCCCCTTTAAAAAAAAAAAAAAATCCCGATCCAGTTGTTTGGGGAGAATTCCTAAAGGCTAGGCCTAAGAAAAAAACAGAAAAGGAAAAGCTCCAACGTATTTGGCTGCCCTGGAACTGCACAATAAAACAGGAGCAACAACGGACGTGCCTGCTAACAAAGCAGCCCCCCCCGGACACTGGAGGCCTAAGATATATGCATTAGAACAGGCATGATCCCTTTTGCCCTGTCATTATTTTAGTGAAGCAATGAAAGTATTGGGGTCCTTCTGCTACAAGCAGCCCCCCAAAGGCCCGACGATGAAATAAAAAACACGCCTCCTCTTGCAGAGTGCAATAATCTAAGAGGTTAAGTCATCTCTCTCAACACTGGAGACGGTGTTACCTCAATGGTTTTTTGCTGGTCTATTCCCAAGCTGTGCATTAACCGCAGAACTTGCTCATTGTATTCTCCAATGGACGGTTCGTTCTCTTGCCCCTGGGAATAGAGAGCGGGTCTTTGCACAGGAACTTCTATGAGCATCCACTTGTGTTCCTTAATCTGAGCAATACTCAGTCTCTTGGATGGATCCAGAACCAGCATCCTCCGGATAAGATGCTCGCACTCTGCGCAGGCCCCAAAAATGAAAAAGACAGTTGGATACAGGAAGCAGAGGATCTAGATCAGGGATGACCCCATCTCTAGTGCCATTATCCCAACATCTATGCAAGCCATTAATACAGGTAATCCTCACTTAATGACAATTGGGACCAGCAATTCCATTGCTAAGTGACACGGTCGTTAAGCGACACATCACGTGACCGCAACTTGTAAATTCACCGCCGGCTTCTCCATTGACTTTGCTTGTCGGAAGCCAGTTGTGAAGCATGCAAATAGCAATCACATGACCACAGGACACTGCGACGTTTGTAAATGGCCACCGGTTGCAAAGTGCCTGAATGTCAATCACATGACTGTGGGGACGCAGCAACAGTCATAAGCGTGAGAACCGGTCATAAAGTTACTTTTTCAGCATTGTTGTAACTTTGAATTAACACTAAACAGGGCAGTTGTTAAGCAAGGACTACCTGTAATAGGAAATACTTGGCTTAGATGCCAATTAAGTTATTGCTAAAAATACAAATAATCATGACATGGAGTGGCTTTAACTTGTATGAAATAGAAAATCCATTTCTCCCACAGGTGTACAACTAGGAAAAAAGCCCAAATAGAGCTTTGAATAGGGATCTCGAGAAAATGGATGTAACGCAGCATTTTCCATCTGCTATAAGGAAGTGGGACTCATCCACTCATTCCTAGTGCAGTTCAGTACAACCTCCTAGCTGCTTTCTATGACATTTCAACTGCCAGTTTATAATGACAGAGAGGGCTTACTGTAAATTGCATCTTGCTTATGTCAGAGGTGAGTTATGGGAGCCACCCTCCTTGGATTTGCAGGATGCGCCACAACGGCTCCTTCTAAGGCCAGGCTTTGCTTGAAGGGCTGTCATGCGTGAATATGGCCACACAATGGGGCAGTCAGAGGGCAACATCGCCATGCAGCTGTCCTTTTAAGCCACAGATTATGTCGATGTCCAATTTCAGGCCCCTCTGACAACTCTGCTCTTTGTGAGGTTAGACATCCCTCTGTGTTCCAGTGTGAATTCTGCCCATTTTTGCCAAACGGTTTCAGTTTATTACCACCAAAGGTCAGCCGAGGTGCCCAAAGGCCAAAGAAATGGATCGTCAGGACTTCTCACACTTTCTCATTCCCACCTACAGCACATGAGGGTTCACAGGGAGTAAACGCTGAAAGATCTCTAAAGCAAAAGGAGACATGACTGTACCTTCAGACATGAAATAGGGGATACGGAACCTTCCTTCCAAAACCCGTTGCCGCAAGATGGGGAGTGTCGGTCCATCGAAAGGCAAAGCTCCACAAACTAAGACATAGAGAACTACACCCATACTCTGGAAAACAGAAGCGTTCTGATTTGAGATCAGGAAATACAAAATTCCACCACCACAACTCTGCTCCATACATACTAGTCATATCCTATCATGATTAAAAAAAAAAAGTTCAATGTGTTCCAAAAATCTCACAATATATCTCAAGTTTGCTCAGCACATGCAACTACAAAACCTAGGAAGAGCCCCCACAGGATAGAAGAAACAGTGCCTTAATCATTAGGAGCCCAGTCTTGGTATTATATGTATTTTCTTCTTTTCAAATTTGGCTAGCCAAGGCTTCATCAAGATGAATTCACACTTCCTTAATGCCTGGCGACAGAAGTTGGCTTCCAGCTGCTAAAACTTGAAACTATTTGACCAGAGTTGAGTGAGGAACATCTTGTTCTTGAGGGGCGGGGAGGAGGGGAAGAGGAAATAGGTTCAATGCTGGCACATATGAGGGGAAGGAACCCCCTTGAAATCACTTCTGCTTCTATTCCATCGAACCACATTCCATTTTATTAGCTGGTTCTATTGGAAAGGAAAGGTTGATACCAGTTAACTCAACTGCAGTGTTGACATGGCAAGGCAACCTTCATCCCAACATGATGACAGGAAGAAGCTTCTTCACAATACTTCTGCAAATACCTATTGGATCCTACCTACTATTAACCTAACAATCCTTCTTTCAGAAGTAACCTGATGGATATGCATGTTCTATCATTCTGAGCAAGCCTGCAAGAGTTTCTGCTGCAGACCATGAGAGAATCCTAAGGAGGCTGGGTCCCAGAAGAGTAGATACACACACCTCCAGCAGAAGCATCAATAGTCTTAATCCATTTCTGAGGTCCAACCCTTCTTAAACTTGGCTTGAATTCTTACTGCTCAGAAGACATAGGTTGGACCCTTTCTAATTCCCAAGCTGTAAAAGCTTCAGAGAAGTCCCTGGGAAGGGCAGAATGAAAGACAGAGATCCAGATTCTATGCAAAACTGGTTCACGCTCTTTACATAAGGAGAAGGGGGAGTCTATATTATTGGCAATGTACCAGTTGCTGAGCTCTTCCTTGGAAGTATGAACATGATCAAGCAGATTGAACTGAAGTTCTAAACTCTGCTCAACAATTCAATGCCACACAAAGATGATGGTGTCATAGCTAAAAGAAAAAAAAAAAAGATCATGGCTTTGTTGCCATTATATATGAAGCTTTAAAGCCCTTCCTTCCTTCCTTCCTTCCTTCCTTCCTTCCTTCCTTCCTTCCTTCCTTCCTTCCTTCCTCTCTATGTGTACG